TCTCTCATATCAAGGAGACTGCTACCTCTAATGCTGGAGCTATCAATGATATACTGCTACTAGTGGAAGACCTTATCATGTTACAAAATGACTCATCTTCCTTCTCTCCTATCCCTACTTCTTGTCAAGAGATTAAGAACAAACAACCAAACAGTCCTTCAGGAGTGTATCTACTGGCAACTTCTAATAACGGAACTAAACATGTTTACTGTAATATGGAGGAGCTGTGTGGTTCAGGAGGAGGATGGACAAGACTAGCAAATCTGGATATGTCTGATGCTACAATGGACTGTCTTTTAGAATTTGAACTGTACCAGTCAGGAGGAGTTAAAGCTTGTGGTAGAGAAACATCAAGTGGAGCCAGTTGTGTATCATCAGTTCAGTTCCCATCTAATGGTATCAGTTACTCTCAAGTGTGTGGTAGAGTAGTGGGATATCAAAGAGGAACAACTGATGCTTCAAATAATAATAATATCAATGATATCAATTCTTATTACATTGATGGTGTTAGTATCACTCATGGGTCTCCTCGTCAACATGTCTGGAATTCATGAAGCTCATAATGATGCTAATAATAATTGCCCTTGCACTCAAGGTAGCACTCAAAACTCAACTCTTGAGGCTTTTATTGGTAATGACTACTTCTGTGAATCTGGTAATCCTACTGATCAACACCAATTTAGCACACTCTATACATCTGATCCATTGTGGGATGGTAAAGGATGTGTCAGTCTTGAAGTTGTCTGTTGTACATCTCGTCCTAGTCTTCCATGGTTTCACAAGGTCCTGGGCACTACCACTAGTGACTACCTTGAGCTGAGGGTGTGTGGTGATGAGATTTCAAGTAATGAAGATATTCCTGTTAGCTTTTACGAGTTGTATGTCAAATAAAGACAATATACACTTAGTCTTGTGAACATAAATAGTTCATTAGAAATTTAGTTTTTGCATAGTGAACAGAGTTTTTTTGCACTTTAGAATTAGACTATAGATACTAAATGTATGTGCAGTTGTCTCTATTTTTGCATACAATTTTTTTGATTTTTGATTAGAAGATAAATTTTGTAGCTTATATTAAAACAAAAATTAATTCCTCCAATATAAACAAATGTCCGGTATAATAAGTAGTTAGGCCATAGGAATTAGCAAAAAGGGTGTTTAAGTGGTGTTGCTAGAAATTCATGAAATTTTAATTATCTAATTTTAATCAGCAAATAATTTAAATCAATAAAGCACTTCTGGTTGAAGTATAGCTAAATGCTGTGAAACTAAAGAATATCAGTAAGAAAGCAATCAACAGAGCTATTATGTTCCTTTTAGAGAATTATTTTGAGACATGTAAGGTTAAATTACTAATTGCTATGATACAATAACCATATTCATGCAAGTCATTATGATTCCAATGCATGTACTTACTTATAGCTAAAACAAACATACTCTACCTGTTAAATATCACATCACTTACATGAGTTGCCTCCATCTTCAATTGTAATAGTCAGTGAGATCAACTTTTTAAAGTGATATGTCACAATCAATGTCACAATTAATTACCAAAATTAATGTCACCATTAGACTCCTGTCTTTCTCCCTCTCATGCCACCCCAGTCAATCTCTAGCTCTATTGTCATTAGGAACAAAAGCCTCTGACTCAGTCAAGGCATTCTGTGCAAAGGAATGAATGAAACTTTACATACACAGCTACACTATGGGAGCATAAAGGCTCAGCGTAATATTAACCAATGGCCACAGTTAACATAAGGGTAGGCATTAAAGAAGTTAACATAACATAACAGTGAAGTACACAGTAAATTATGTCACGATAAGATGAAAGAAAAGATGGTGAAATTATGACTCATTATTGAAGATAGAAATTTTAATAATAATGCATGTGTAGAGTAATGTGAAAGTGAACATACATGTACCAAGTAGAGTATACAGAAGTATTTCTTGTACACTATACTGTATACAATTAACAATATAATATACAATCATGTATACTACCCTGTATACTACTGTATGCAGCCATGAATGCACTATACTCATTTGGGAATAGTATTGAATTACTATTATTTTTCCCAGTTGAGTTGGACTTAGAGGAGGTTGGTCATGCGTCATGTGACGATGTCACTTCCTCTACCTACCTCCCTTCATAAAAATGGAGTATTCTCTCTCTTTTCACTTTAGCAGCAGTTATCTCACTAATCATACCTGCAATTGACTCAAAAATATCAGTGCATCCAGACAAAAGATTATTATACATGATGAAATTTTCTTATTTTAATGCAGTACAATATTCTTAAG